TTTAATATTCATGTATTTGAAGATTTTTCTGTTATCTTTCTGTTATCAATTTCCAGTTTGTTTTGTTATGGTAAGAGAACATTCTCTTTACGATTTCAAATCTTTTAAATTTGTTAAGGTTTTCTTTAGGAACCAGGAAATGGTCTATCTTGGTGAATGTTCATGTGAGCTTGGGAAGAATGTATGTTCTGTTACTGGTGGATGGAGTAGTCTGTAAATGTCAGTTAGATGCAGTTGATTTATGATGCTATTCACTTAACTATATCCTTACTGATGTTTGCCTGTTAGAGCTGTCTACTACATAAGTCAATTAATGATAGAAAGTGTCAAATACTAATACCTTAGGTGCTGAAGTCTCCAACTATAATTGTGGATTTATGTATTTCTCCTTTTAGCTTTATCAGGTTTTGCTTCATATATTTTGTAGCTCTATTGTTTGGTGCATACACATTTAGGATCACTATATCTTCTTGGTAGATTAATCCTTTTATTATTATGTAACGTCCCTCATTGTTCCTATTAATTTTCTTTGCTCTGAAATCTACATAATCTGCTATTAATGTAGCTATTCCTGTTTTTATTAAATTAATGTTCACGTGATACAACCTTATTCATTTTTTTTTACTTTCAGACTACCTATATCATTATGTTTAGAGTGAGTTTCCTGAACACAGCACATATACTGTTTTTATTTTTTAATAATGTTAAAGGTTTGTATTTTTTAATTCATTCTGACAGTCTCTCTCTCTCTTTTAATTGGTATATTTAGGCCATTGAGTTTAAAGTAATTATTGATATGTTAGGGCTGAAGACTACCATTTTATCATTCATTTCTGTTTGTTCCCTATGTTTCTCATTCCCCTGTTTCTCTTTTCTTGCCTTCCTGTGGGTTTTTAAATGTTTGTTAGAATTCCATTTTGAATTATTTATAATGTTTTAGAGTATATTGATTCATATATTTTTCTCAGTGGTTGCTTAGATATCACAATATGCATACATAACTTATCCCAGCATACTGCTATCAATGTTTTAGTGCTTTGAGTAAAATGGGCCTTACTGCTATTTAGGTTCCCTTTCTACTTTTAGAATACAATCGTCTTAAATGTTTCTTTTCATGCATTGAATACTATATCATGCAGTGTTATTATTTTTGCTTCAACCATCATATATAGTTGAATAAACTCATGAGGTGAAGAATAGTCTCTTATGTTTACACCTATTTTTATCCATCCCAATATTTTTATTTTCTGTCTGAAGTTTCAAGAATTCTTCTGCTGTTGGTTTCTTTCTGCCTGTATGATTATAATTGAAGTGAATTTCCTACAGACAGCATAAAATTGGGTCATGTTTTTAAATTCACTCTGCCAATCTTTGTGCTTTAATTGGTGTATTTAGACCATTGACATTTAATGTAATTATTGATATGAAAAGGCTTAATTTTTGATTTGTTTGTTTGTTTCTTCTGATTTCCATTTTTTCTGGGTTTTTTTGTTTGTTTGGTTGGTTGTTTTTGTCTTCCTGTGGGTTACTTGAACATTTTTTAGAATTCTGTTTTGATTTATCTATGGTGTTTTTAAGTGTATCTCTTTGCACAAATTTTATTTTGTGGTTGTTCTATGTATGTACATAAATTATCACAGTCCACTGGTATCATCATTTTACCAGTTCAAGTGAAGGAAAGAGCCCCTACCTTCATGACTGTGAGTTTTTTGTACCTGCATAATTCCTGTACCATGACCTCACATCCCTGTTGATATTAACATTTTGGGCCAGACCATTCTCTGCTGTGGGGGGCTGAAATCTAGCAGGTGGAGGCCATGAATGCTGTTAAGCACCCTATGACACACACGACAGACCCCACATAGCTATGGACTTTGAATAGATGAAAGTGGGGAAGAAAACTCTGGCTTAGAGGTCAAGAGCTTGGGATGAATAGTCACACTTGAACTCAGGTCCTGATTCTGCCATTTTCTAACTGTATTGTGTTGAGAAATTGGCTGATGCCTATGACGGTTTCTCAAGTGTAAGATTGAAGTATCTACCTTATAAGATCCAATCAGATACTACAAGATTAGTGCTTAATACAGGAAATGGAAGTAATAAAATAATAACAGCCAATAACAGTAGAAAATAACAACAACAACAATAATAATAATAGTATTTATTATATGCCAGGAACTATTCTAGGAACTTCCTATGTGTTAACTCATTTAATCATGATAATAGCCCAGTGAGGCATGTCCCTCATTCTCCCCATTATATAGCTAAGGATTGTGAAGCACAGAAGAGTTAAGTAACTTTCCCAGGACCCCAGGGCTAGTAGCCCAGGGACTAGAAGCAGAGGGAATTCCTACCAGCCCTAGGTCAGAAAGGGCTAGGAGCTGGCGAGTTACTAGCACCCAGTAAAGACGCAGCTGTAGGAGAGGGCTGCCCATGGGGAGCTGAGGCCACAGGATGAGGAACATTCCTACCAGCCCTAGGTCAGAAAGGGCTAGGAGCTGGCGAGTTACTAGCACCCAGTAAAGACACAGCTGTAGGAGAGGGCTGCCCATGGGGAGCTGAGGCCGCAGGATGAGGAACATGGCCACTGCCACATCAGGACCCAGATGCTGTCCCCTCTCTCCTCCTATTGGCCAAACACAGCCAGAAAGTACAGGGCAAGGGAGCCCAGGTGACCTGTCTGTAGAAGTGGGAGTCTCCTAACATGGAGCAGAGCTGAGAAGGCAGAGAAGAGATGGGGGAGAAACAGCAACCACCCAGGGCCCTCACTGTGCTTTCCCAGCAGTGCCCCTGCTGTTAGAGCTGCTGGTGCAGAGAACTCAGAGTGGCCAACTCCTCATAGGTGACCCATAGAGGGTGGCTGGGGAAGGGCATCGGGGACAGAGGCCTTGTAGCCCCATACACCCAGGTTAGGATGTGGCCCTGCCAAGCCCAGCATCCCTCACTGCAGAACTTATAGTACCTTAACGAGAATTTCCAGTCCTTTGACTAAATATTTATTCGGTGCCTGCTACATGCCAGGTGCTGCACAAGGTGCTGGGAACAGAGCTGTGATCAACACAAACCCCGTGTCTGCCCTCATGGAGATGACCCCCCAGTTGGGTGATGGGTAATGAACAACTGTAGGTCGTAGCAGAGATTGTGATAGAAATAAAACAAGCTGTAGGATACCAAGAGCGCCTGGGGTGGGGGCACCACCTTAGACAGGGTGGTCGGCGCAGGCCTCTCTGAGGAGGTGACATTTGTGCCAGACTTGGCAGAGTAGAAGGAGCCCATCATACAAAGTCTGGGGAAAGTCTCTTCTCAGTAGGGCAGAGCTGGGCCGGGCCCTGCAGGGAGTCTGCCTTTTACTCTGAGAGTGGCGAGAAGCGGGGAGAAGTCGAGCAGTGGGTACAGGACCTGCACCGAGGTGAGCCCAGTGTGCGCACTTGCACAGCCTGGAGCGAAGCCCCTCCAGTTCTGGGCCCTCCTGAGCGATATCATCTGATTTGTATTAAGGAGGATCCTGTGGCTGCCCTGCAGGGAATGGAGGGTGGGGGCGGGGGCAGCACATATCCCTGGAGCCCCAGCTGAGTCCCTGAGCCATGATTTTGGGGCGGTGGCCAGAGTTTCCTCCATGGACAGGAGGGATCAACAAACTCCTTCAAGGTCACAGGGACGCAGTCTGACTGCAGGGCACTTGGTTTCCTCCCAACACCTCTGTCCCTCGTCTGAAATAAATGAGAGCAGAAGTCTATATCTGGACAGGACTTGAAGGCTCATTTCCTCGTGAAGTAGAAAAATGACCGCAGAGTGAAGAGCAGAGCGAGATCAGGGACCTGCTCAAGCCAAGAGTCCCCATCCCGACCCCTCCCCCACCCTTTCTCCTGGATCAGATGTCACAGTGGAATGTGAACATTCCTTCCTAACCCTTTTAGCTCCTCAATCCTCCTTTTTATCATTTCGTTTATTATTATAAGAACAAATTTTGTTATGAGATCTATTGACAAGGGACTTTCATACATATCACCGGTGGACTGAGTTCTTATAACAGCCACATCTCCCCATTTTATAGGTGAGGAAACTGAGGTCTCTCTCTGGCTTGTTCATGGGGAAACTGAGGCCCCTCACTGGCTAGTTCACAGAGATCTGTTCGAGCCAAGATTCCCTGTCCCACCTACCTCCCACCCACCTACATCTGTGACCCAACTGATCTGGGGTCAAGGGGCTGACCGAGGTCATGGTGGGATATGACAGTTCTTCCTCTTTAGCCCTCGATTTTCTCGTTTGTCATTTGGTGTATTCTGCCACTTAAAGCTAGTATGAATGCCTTTCGCCCAGCTATGGGCTCATTGACAAGGGGCTTTTACACACCTCTCCACTGGACTGAGTTCTTGTAATGGCCTCATCTCCCTCACTTTACTTATGGGGAAACTGAGGTGTCCCTCACTGGCTTGTTCATGGGGACACTGAGCCAGCAAGTGGCAGGTCTGGGACTGAACCCCATGAGCTGTCCAGCCCAAAGTGGACACCATCCCCAGTCCCCAAGGGCTCGTCCTAACCCCTGTGAGTCCCCCGCGGCTTGAGAGCTGAAACTTCATCTGCTCACGTGTGCCCACGGTGCCGCAGATACGAGTGACCAGAAGTGTCTGCTCCCTCAGATGGGCCACTGCTCTTCCTCTTTCTGGGATGGTCTGTTAAATTGGGTGGACTGTCCAGAGACAGGCTGATTCTCTGAATTGGGTCTTGGGCTGCCACCAACACATCCAAAGGATCGCTGGCTCCAGGGGAGAAATGCTGTCTGCAGAAGTGGTCGCAGAAGGCTTTTGTCTGCTGTTTCTATCGACTCAGCAGATGAAATGCTTTTCTAACTTGAGCAGAGTTAGCTTTTTGCTCCGCCATAGCTGCCCCTGTTCAAAGACGATCTCGTCATCACAGCAGCCTGGGACAGTCATGCAGGCGCGAGCAGGGGTAGCTTGACATATGTACTGACCTGATTCTTTTCCTCCTGCTTTAGATCCGTGTGTAGAGAGGGAAGAAGGAGAAGAAGCAACCACAACACACAACTCCAGACTCCTGCAACCCTCAAGAAGCCACGGGTCCGCAAAGAAAGAAAATGGCCCCCCACGGCCTCCTGCTTGGCTTGCTGTCTGCGACCGTGCTGTCACTGCTGGAGGGCAGCTCGGCATTCCTGTCGCACCCCCGCCTGAAGGGCAGGTTTCAGAGGGACCGCAGGAACATCCGCCCCAACATCATCCTGGTGCTGACGGACGACCAGGATGTGGAGCTGGGTAAGCGTCCCCAGCAGGGCCCCAAGGAGGCGCATTGTCCACGCAGGGCCACCGGGCTGAGGCTCCTGAGGCAAAGCAGTTGTGTAGACACAGAGAGTTCACTTCTAAGTGGATTTCAACCAAGACACAGGGGTTGCCTCACACATGTGGGCTCAAAGCTGGATCCTCGAGGTTAGGGGTTTTTAACCTTCCCAAAGTAAAACCGTTTCTGGTCTTCTCCAGGGTCTTAAGAAGAGATGCTGAGACCAGGTCGTTATTTGCACCCAGTTTCTATTGAGTATTTAGTATGTACCGGGCCATCTTCTAGGGCCTGGACTTCACTAATGAGTAAGACACGCACGATCCCTATTGTCAGAGAGTAAGGGAGACAGAGAGCCACACGACAGCAAGTCAAGTTAGAAGATAATTTCACGGAAGGACAAGTGCCACTATGAAAACTGAGTAGGGCCGTGCACAGGGCAGTGGTGGAGTTGGGAGCTACTGTTGATTGGCCGTGAGGGAGGGGCTCACAGAGGGGGTGATATTTGAGCTGACACTGAACAAAAGAAGGAGCCAGCTTGTAGCAGGGGGTCGGTGTGGGGGATCCCCCAAGCTTCCACCCCTTACACTGCTGCAGGCCCCTGGGAGAGCAGGTGTGGACAGGGGCCCTTACCAAGGTTTAGCTCATGTACACGCAGAGCAGGCATGATGGGGGCTCATGGCTGTGTGCTCAAGGTGCCCCCAGCCCATAGTGCCAGTATGCTCCCTGCATTCCCCACCCAAGCCCCCCTGGTCCCCACCTTTGGCTCACTGTGTGACCCGCCCTCTGGCAGATTCCATTTCTCCTCATTAAACCCTACAGCAGTGCTGTCCTCTGGAAATAGAATGGGAGCCATAAATGCAAATGACATGTGTAACTTTACATTTTCTAGTAGCTACAACTTTTTTAAAAGTTAAAAGAAACTGGAGAAATTAATCTTAATAACATATTTTAACTCAGTATATCCAAACTTATCATCTCAACATGTAATCAGTATAAGAAATCAATTATGAGATATTTTCCCTTTTTTATATTGTTTTTGATATCTGGCATGTATTTTACACTTAGAGTGCATCTCAATTAGGACTAAACACCTTTCAGGTCCTCAGTAGGCACCTGTGGCTTGTGGCTACAGTACTGGGCATCCCACGCTTTGTGCATTTCCCTTCTCCTATAAATTAGATTTCCCCTTTCATCATCAGTGATACTGTGCATTGTGAAAATCTGGTGAAAAGCACCCAAGGCAGAGGGAACAGCATATGTAAAGGTCCTGAGGCAGGATCAAGAAGGCAGATGTGGCTGGAGCCTGGAGAGGGGAAGTAAAATATGAGACTGGAGGGAGAGAATGGAGCCAGATCTTGGAGGCTTTTGTGGGTAGGGATATCCCGATCTCGATCTCCTTGCTCGGTGAGGGGTCGGCCCTCAGCCTCTGCTGACTTTCAGAAGACAACAGATTATTGTTGGTGGCAACAAATGTTAACGGTTTACTAGGTCAGCCTTTGCAACCTGAATCAGTCTTTTAGCTACCAAGATAAGGTGATTTATATAAAACCAAGTCACTCCTTGCAATGATTTGTATTAATGATCACAAATATAGCTTTTTCTCCAGGAGCTTATCAGTGCAAAAAAAATTTGCAGCCAAGAAGCAATCAGAGCCCAGAGCTTTTATTGACAATTTGACACATATGATACCTATCTCCCTGGCAGCATTTAGAATGAGCCGCATTTGATAACCTCATTGTGGGGAGTCTACAGACCGTGGCCACAGGGGTGTGAGTTTTGCTGCTGGCAGAATTTTGCAGAGGACTTGCAGGCAGCACCTGGACCTCAGAACTCCGTGGTCTCCCCTCGTGTGGCCCCTCAAGCTATTTCATTCTAGTTGTGCCTGAGAACTTGAGATGCCCTAGACATTCATTCATTCATCCAGCAGATGTTTATTAAGCATCTGCTCTGTGCAGTGCACACTGTGCCAGGAGCTGAAGAACTGGGGGAAGATCATTCCAGTTGGAGAGAACAGGAAATTCAAAGACACCAAGATAAAAATGAGCCTTACAGTGGACTGGAGCAGAAAGAGGCCAGTGTGGAATGAGCCGGCCTGTGAATGGAGAGAGAGGAAGCCAGGGAGTCAGTTGACTGGGGCCAGGCCGTGTGGGGCCTGTGGCTGTGGTGAGGGTTTCGAGTGCTATTCTTAGTGAAACAGACGTGGATGAGAAGTCTTAAGCAGAGGGTGGCCGTGACCTCACTTAGGTTCCAATAGGACCCCTCTGCTGTCATGATGAAATTAGGTTGCAGGGAGCAGGAGCAGAAACAGGAAGACCCATGAGGGAGCCAGTGCAGTAACTGGCAGGTGATGATGGAAGCCCGGACCAGGGCGGGAGCAGTGGAGCTGGTGAGACATGGCCCCACTTGGTTTATGTTTGGGAAATAAAATGATGGATGAGTTAAATGTGGAAGTTAAGGAAAAGAGAAGAATCAAGGGCAGCGTTTAGATTTGGGGCCTGAACCTACAGGTGAGTAATTGAATACCCGTTCTTAGGAACAGTACATTTTTACTGAAGCAATTTGATCTAGCTAAGCCTCATGTCTGAATTTGATTGTAATTTTGCATCTGTGACTCTTGAATAAAACCAACAGAATATAGAAACATGAGGAGAAGAGCTATGGGTGTGATGAGGACAGGGGAGAAAGACAACAAAGAAAACCATGGCTGACTTAAAATATAGAGATTTGTTCTCTCCATCCTATCAAATAGAGAAGCTGAGGCACAGAGAAGTTAAGCTACTTATCCAAGGTCACACAGCAAGAATGTAGTTTAACAGGACTTTAACCAGAGCCATGGACTCAACCACTGCTCTTCTTAGCCAGTCTCCTAGGATGGATACTGATTTGTTTCCAGATTGTTAGTGTGTTTGTTAGTTTGTCACTGTTACAAATACTGTTGCTGGGGATGTCTTTATACGCGCATTTTTGCACACATGAGCGAGTGTTTCTGAAAGATAAATTCCAGGAAGTGAACACGGTGGGTTTAGAGCCCCTCATGCTCGGTGGCATCTGTCAGCTCCCACACAGCTGCACTAAATAGCACAGATCAGTGCCTACAAGTCTTCCCCTCCACAAACGAGCCAGACCTTCCTCCACCAGTCAAACTGGCTTTTGAAGGAGGCTGAGCTTCTTTCAGGAGGTGAAGGATGGGAAGGTGGTAGTGGGGGGGATGATGGGCTTTTTATAAACCACTAGACAGACCCGGATCAATAATGAATGTTCCAAAAAAGCCCAACACATTAGCTCACAGTCTGCTACAACTGGCAAGCAGAGGGTGGTCCTAAAAAATTTATCATCTGCTATTTTCTGCTCATCCATGCGGCAGTTCTGACAGTTCTCTGGGCTGGAGACTTCTCAACTAAGATAATCCCAGGCTTTCTTCCAGTCCCAGGGTGGAGAATGGCCGTCCATCCTAATTAGGGTCTGGCTGAGAGGACCGGTGCAGGACACGCAAGATGAGGGGCTCATACTTTCTTACTAATTGCAAGATGGGGGGTGGGGGCTGCACTGTGTATATTTATTTTTTCTTCCCTGCATGCACTTGACTCCCTGAGTTGTCAGTTGGAAATGTCAGATGCCCTGGGGAACTGGTTCCAGGGGCATATTAGTCAGTAAAAGGCCTCAATCATCAATACATTTTCAAAGCAATTGGGAAGATCCCTGTGTTTAGATGACCCTTGGAGGCCATCAGGCTCTTTGCTGGCCTCTTCCGTGGGAGGGTAAAAGAGAAGAAGTACACAGAAGCCAAGGCCTTGTTTGGACTGTGTCCTGTGTTCAGGGAGGCTGTGGAACCAGTGGACTCTACCAGGGTTTACTGGTTTAAGTCAATTTAGACAAACCTTTGGGGTTCGACAGGCTCTGAAACACCAAGAGGCGTAAGATATGGTCCTTGTCTAGAGTGAGAGAATTTTTACAGCATCCCAGTTTGTTCTGTTACTTGAGATTTTCTATAACTGGATGATAGAGTTTGGATATGTTGTCGCCTCCAGAACTCATGTGGAAATTTGATCCCCAATGTGGCAGTGTTGGAAACTGATTTGAGTCATGGGGGCGGATCCCTGACGAATGGATTAATGCTCTCTCTGGGGGTCAGGGGGCCTGAGTGAGTTCTCGCTCTATTAGTTCCCACGAGAGCTGGTTGTTTACAGGACCCTGGCACCTCTTCTCTCTCTTGCTTCCTCCCGCCATGTGATCTGCTTGTTCCTGCCACTTTCTACCATAAGTAGAAGCAGCCCGAGGCCCACACCAGATGCAGCTGTCCCAGAATCTTAAGCCAAATAAACCTCTTTTCCTTATAAATTACCCAGTCTCAGGTAATTCTGTTATAGCAACACAAAACAGACTAAAACACTGGACTTGCTTTTTGAAGCTTAAATATTACTTTAAAAGGAAGCTTTAAATTCTGACTCTGAATGAAAAACCAATATCCATTGCCTTAGGTAAAAGGCCACTGCGAAACCACATACAATGAAAATGGAGCAGTGTTTTAAATTTCAGCAAGATGCTGCCTCCCACAAGGCCATTAGCTGCAAGTAGCACCCACCTGAGACTTTCTCCTGACCTGATCAGCAGGATAGAGATTGGAAAAGGGAAGAACTTTCTCCAGTTGGGGTCCCACTTAAATGGGCACCTTGTGACAGTGGCTCTTGTGTCTGAGGGTCAAGGAAACAGCTAGACCCCAAGCCCCCGAATGTCAGGGGTGGATTTTCTACTGTTCATTTTGCGGAGGGTCCACGCCAGGTAGAAATAGGGTGCCTTTTAGAGATGACCTCAGATTGTCGGATTTCAAATGTGCCTCCCTCCATGACTGGAGCAAACGTTTGCATCACAAAAGAATTCTTTGCCTTTCCAAACATCTTTAAATGAAAATACTCCCAGTTAAGGTGCAAGGGTGAGAGTTGTCTAGTCAGGGGTTCAATCCTCACTCTGCCCCTGACTG